GAGGTGTGAGTTCCAGACTCCTGCCTGTGTGTCTTTGTGCTGAAAAAATCAGCACAACTTGCTTTAAAACATGCTTTAAAATTGGCTTCGTTGAAAAAAAAAGGTTTCAAAAGTGTTTTCCAAACTGTTCACTGCCTCCTCCACTCCTTTCCTGAACTTTCTTGATCTAAGGAAAAAAGAAAAGAAAAATTATCCCCCTCTAGTGGTAGAAGGCGGAATAGCAGCTTCTCATTAGTTTCTATGGACAGAAAAGAGCAGATACGGATTAAATGGTTTTCAGTGCATTCCTATGGGAAATGCAGATTCGACCTACAAACTTTTCGACTTACAAACTGCCTTCCAATACGGATTAAGTTTGTAAGTCGAGACCCCATTGTAGAAGGAGAAGATATGGAGACAGTGACAGATTTGTCTTTCTTCAGCTCCATGATCACTGAAGATGGTGACAGCAGCCCCGAAATTAAAAGATGCTTGCTTCTAGGGAGGAAAGCGATGACAAACCTAGACAGCATCTTAAAAAACAGATACATCACCTTGCCGACAAAGGTCTGCATAGTCAAAGCTATGATTTTTCCAGTAGCGATGTATGGAAGTGAGAGCTGGACCATAAAGAAGGCTGACCGCCGAAGTATTGATGCTTTTGTGGTACTGGAGGAGACTCTTGAGAGTCCCCTGGACTGCAAAGAGAACAAACCTATCCATTTTGAAAGAAATCAACCCTGAGTGGTGATTGGAAGGACAGATCCTGAAGCTGAGGCTCCAATATTTTGGCCATCTGATGAGAAGAGAAGGCTCCCTGGAAAAGACCCTGATGTTGGGAAAGTGTGAAGGCAAGTGGAGAAGGGGACAACAGAGGAGGAGATGGTTGGACAGTGTCATTGAAGCTACCAACATGAATTTGACCCAACTCCTGGAGGCAGTGGAAGATTGGAAGGTCTGGTGTGCTCTGGTCCATGGGGTCACGAAGAGTCGGACACAACTTAATGACTAAACAACAACAATGCCCCCTCACATCAGGTTCTGAGGTTTGCTAGGGAACCCTTTTGACCTGGAGAGCCTGTAGGAGCCTTGGGAAGTGGAGGGAAGGCTTTAATATCCAAATATCACCACCTGTGGTGCTGATCTCAGAAGTAGCAACCCAGTTATGATTTTTGAATATTTAAAGCACGTCTGTCTCAAGGCTCTCAAAGACTTCCCCAGGTCAAAAGGGATCTCTGAGGTGTCTTGGCATCATAAGTAAATAGGAAACTTTAAATTAACAAGTAATGTTGCAGGCTGATAACAGTGTCACCGTTTATTACATAGTCACGCCAACAGGATTCTAGCTAATAATTTTTTACAGTATGTGACTACTTAATTTAAATGAAACTAGTCTCTGAAACATACAATGGCAATAAAATAGTGACTTAAGTGTATTCAGCAACTTTAAAGAGCTCTTGTTTGCTGCTTTTGCAGAAAGGTGCTTATGTAAGTTTTTCCTTCCATGTAGCAGGCTCCCTTTTGTATGCTCAACGTTACAAAATTGGACATGAAAATAGTTGCATGGTCAGGAACATTAATGAAAGACAACAAGAAGGGATAGTCAATGTGCAGTTGTCTTACATGAGTAGTGTTTTGCCAGTTTGGGCCACTATTTCTCACAAATTAACTCATTTGTCTCCTTGGAAGGAAAACTATCCTACTTCTGAGAATTAGATCAGTGTAAACACTCAAATTTTATGAAAATATTACCTGACCTATTATAACTTTAAAGTTGTTTACACTATTTATTTATTTATTTATTTAT